GGGAAGGTATATACTTGATCAATTTCTCGATTTCCCGTTTTTTTTCCACATTAAGCGGCACCTTGCCATTATAAGCTGGCTCATTCGGCAATTCAACAGCTCCATGCTTCCCTAGACTGAAAGTGTGATTGTCAAGACCATCGATAAAGCCCCAACATTTTATTACTCCTGGGGCACCAGCAGACATACGAAAATGGTGATACTTCGAGATTAAAAATGAAACTTTGTTTTCCTTAAGAACATGTCTCCCTTTTGTTTCATCCGATAGTGTTTTCTTCCTGTAATGCAGTGGCCACCATTGTTTATAATCTTTAATATCCTCTGTGGAAACCATTGTTACCATAGCCTTTTTTGGTGTCTTGGTTGCATTTGCGATTTGTTTAACGTATTGCTTGGGAACGTATACTCTATCAAGCCGTTTTATTCGTCTCTTCAGGGTGCCAAAATTTCTGTCATTTGGCATGAAAGAATGACCACGGATGGGCGTGTAGTAGTTGATAGTCTCAAAACTCTTTGTTTGAACCAATGCACACAAGAATCTCAGTAAAGTGTGGTTCCGATTCTGGCCACCACATGCATCGGAGAAAAGATGAAGGTGTCACACTTGGGGAGGTAGCTCGTTTTGAACATACATATTAAGCATTGTACATACTTCGTCTGGACCTTTTTTGGCTTGGCCTTCATGATAAACGTAATACATTGAGTTACCAGCGCTGATATTATGAATATTAAAGACGTTAACCCAGAGTTGCCGATAATAGAACACCTCTTGTACGGGGATGTGAGGAAGGGGAAGATTTTGCATAAAATCCATAGATATCCCTGCAGTGTCATCCCTACCCAGAGATTCCATAGATTTCATTTTGGAGTAAAACTTTCTTGAATTCCTTTTATGTACCTCTAATTCAGCCTCAGCCACCCTCTTGGCATGTGGGTTGAGTTCGTTACTGTTCTTTTTTGTTATCAGCTCTTCACATTTTGAACAGGTGTCTTTTTGAGGCCTTCCAAACCTCAAGTCAAAGTGCTGTCTGAAAAACTTTTGGTAATAAAAGTAGGAAACTCTCGAGTCTGGGTGCTCTTCTTTAAACAGCTCATACATTGCTTTTATAGTAAGCTCTGCACTTAGATACTTGACTTCCGAGTTTGAGTAGCGTGCAGTTTTTGTGGGGAATTTATTTATATGCGCCCTGATTTCTTAGCAGTCTGACTCAGGCATCTTATATCGATTGTCTTGTTGACCTCTCATATCTTTTGGGATATTCCCCTGCTGCAGCAGTGAAGTCAGACGTCGGAGTCTTTTCTCTGTTATGGCGAATAAACTGATAAAAGCTTTTTTGCAAATCTTTTTTTCGTTTACATAATAGAGGAATACAGCTAACCGAACAAACACATTTTTTCCTGATCTCTGGCGCTTCACAGGCTCCAATTTGACTCTGATTTGCAGGTAGACATCCTGAGCATCTTTACTCGATAGTTTGGAGAAATTTTCGATAAGAGATGTCTTTTGACCATCTGTGAATTTTTCAGTGCATTTCCAACGACATCTGGAACAAATAGAAAAAACTAATAAGTGATTAGATTCCACAGGTTTATATTAAATTTTAACAAGATTATTAGTTTTTTCTATTATAACTAGAGAACAAAATAAATCGTATATTACCTGCAATCACCTCCATACTGGCGAGCTGGAACTTCGTTACCAACACTGTTTACATACGAAGCACCTTCTAGTCTAGCTTTCTTGATTCTTACCCATTTGTAACTGTTCGCATTTCTCACTCCTTTTTTTCTTTTTTTTTGTTGATTTTCTGGATCATTCATTTTTTTCTTAAATAAACCGAATGAATATTATTTAAAGCACGTTTACAACTCAACAACCTGTTGTCTACTAAGAAATCAACGAAATAGATAAAAAAAAACAAACTATCAACATTGTCCCATCTCCTTCTATCGTTGCCACCTTCTAACCGTTTGTTCTTATCAAAGTGGGGGCACTTTTGACGCGTTTATTATAGTAAGGGTCATATGTCCCGGACAACCGACGTTTCTTAAATAAAACTGTCGAAGGCCACATCTTTCAGCGTGAATAAAAACGTCGTAGATGCCTAAATATGTGCCGTTTCTACTATCAACATGTAAAGATAATGACATTTGATGGATTTTTCAACAAAAATATTTTGCGCTATATTGGACAACTGACCTTCCTAAAATAACACATTCAATTTAGATGATCAATGGGTCTAATGAGGCCTAAGTGTCGTGGTGGTATCCCACCCTCCAAACGTTAGATACCTTAGATCAGCTTTTATTTCTATCAATCTAGAGAAAAATATTGTTGACACTAAAGAAACGTACTAATAATTTAAATATTTATTTTAAAAATTATTTACAAATTTTAGGAAATACATTTAGCATTACTATTCTGGAAAAATGCTGTAACATATTGTTATAATTTGTTTGATTAAAGTCTACTTCATAGATATCAACTTCATTGTTATGTTCAAAGTCAGGTGAAGCTATACAAAAAAGAGATTTATTTTTTGTGCAAATAACATTTGTAACTGCATTTGACTTAAATGTTTTTTTATTTATCACCCCATCTTTTATATAATTTTCTACAGTTTTGTTTTTTGATGGGCACTTTACTTCTATGCAATATTCCATCAGGTAATAACTCCAAAAAAGGATATTCTTTATTTAAAAGTAGCCCACATTTAAAAATTTTAATTTTTCTTATCTTTTCAACAATCTTTAAAACGTCAGGTTCTAATGTGTTTCCCCTTACCATTGCCGTTGTTTCTATTGGTTTTAAAGCACCAAGAATTGTTGCTATTAAAGAACCATCTGTAGTTCGACAATGGGCAGCTTTATAAAATTTTAATGCAGTAATTCTGCCCCACCGAAGTTTAAACAATTGGGATGATTTTGATTGATTTTGGGTAGCAATTTCTACTTTTTTACATGTGGAATTCTGCATTTTTTTACAGACAAAATTCATAAAACAGTGATATATCTTCAAATGTAAATTTCTTATATACATCAAATAGTTGACTAGTACCGCTTAAACCTTTTACTTTCTCCAAAAAGTTTTTATCCTTGTTTCTAAGGGGTGGAATTTTTCTATTTACCAAATCTTCTAATTTGAATCCGTCTTGTTCTATAGCAGCTTTGCTCAGTTTGGAAGCTTTTCAGTAGCACACCTGGGCTGTAATAGAAGGTTATTCACTTCTTCGATGCAACCACATGATAAATGCAGTAGCATGTTTACATCCACCTGTGATGACAAAAAAAATAAAGATTAGAGGATACATTTGAAAAATAATTGTTTAACCTGTGTGGATACACAACTTGAAAAATAATTGTTTAACCTGTGGATACACAACTTATTTTTTCCTTTTTTTGTAGTGATTTTTGTAATTTTTTTTAGATTCAAACTATTTAGTCAAAGAAAAAATAAAATTATTTTTTAAACATAAAAATGAAAACTAATACACACTTGACTTCTTTTCAGTAAACAAAAGAGAAAGCGCGATTTAATAAGTTTTGAAAAATACATAACTTTTTAAAAGGCCCAAATGTGGTGATTTAAATTCAAACAAATTGTCATACCTTTTAATTCTTAATTAATATATTATAAAATTGTAATTGGAAAATTTTAATGTTTTAATTGATTTTTTTCAGCTCAGTAGCCCTGGTAGGCAAGTGCCCATTTTTTCAAAAACAGTTACATTGTAATCAACATTTTTTGATATTTTTAGTAATATACATATCCTATGATAAATAATGAATAATATAAACTAATAGCCTTTTCTTTATGACTTTTTGTCTCTTTGGCATTTGAAATTTTCTGCCAGTTCCGCCATTGCACCTGATATTTGAATTTTTTCTCTTTATTTTGATTTCCTCATATTATTTTTTTTTGCTTGATTTTTCTTTTTAGGACATTTTTCGGCTGTGCCCTAAAAACTTGATAAGAGGGTACCCTTTTCTAGGGCTGGTTTTGAATCCAGTGATTTATAAGTCGATGTTTAACTCTGAATTCGAGTTCCTCATAATTTTTTTGTCCAATGGCTCTCTGGTAAGTGTTGACCTTTTTACATCTTTTTGGAAAAATATTTTCGTAGAATTTTTCAGTGTTTCTTCAATTGATTCGTAATTTAATTCATTCTGAATTTCTTAATTAGTTTTTTCTCTTTTAGCCCCCATGATGATTCTATATATGGCTGTTTCGGTTCTTGAAATATTTTTTAAGTTTGATTTTGAGGTGGAATTCCAGACTGGGGCTGCATATGTTAAGATCGGTCTTACAGAGGCCTTATATAATTGAATTTTTAACTTCCTGCTGAGTGAATTTGTTCTGTAAATGTACGGAAAAATGAACTTTTTCGTCACATTTGCTTTTTGTTTTATGTGTTTCACATGTTCGGTAAATAATAACTTTTTATCCATGATAACTCCTAAGTATTTGGTCTTATTTATTTCTTTTATTTCCTGGTTGTCGATTTTAATTTTAATTTTTGGCACTCTTGTGGCTGAAGATTACCACTTGGGTTTTTTCTGCGTTGACTTTTAATCTCCATTTTTTATAGTAATTGCATATTTCCTTTAGATGAGTTTCAAGTCTTCTTTCTTCATTTCCCTCAGGAGATGTAGAATTTTTCCCAAGTTGCATATTTTATTAATTTCGTTAAGCTCTTTCGCTATGTGCGCCATTTCGTTGATTTCCTGGTTTTTATTTTCGCTATTTTGTTTTTTTTTTGTCTGAATCCAGCCGTCACTTGGCTATATGGTTTTTCAGCGGTGATTATTTTGTTTCCTGATTTGTGAGGTTTTTCATGTTTTTATTCTTTAATTCGTCTGACTTCTTGAGGTGCTTTAGATACACTGGACACTGAGAAATTGGCTGTGTGTTTTCCACTGCAATTTGCACATTTGACATCGTTTTTGGTATTTTTTGGTAATGGGCAGTTAGGCGTTATGTGCTTAACTGCACATTTGACTCATTTCGGTTCTTCGTGACAGTTCGCCTGGCTGTGCCCGAACTGTTGGCATCTATAACATTGGGTTATTTTGTTCTTTTTCGCATATGTTGCCCATTTGACTCGTGTGTTTTGCGCACCTTTTATTTTATAGATATCTCTTAGGTTTGTTTCTTTTTTCACACAAACTTGGTATGAGTGGCTTTCAACATTCTCTGCTCTCGATCTTAAATTGATTATGTTAACTACATCGATGCCATCAAACTCCAGTTCTTCTTTAAGGTCTAAGCCTGGTGCGGCTTTTAGCACTATTTTCTTTATTTTGTCTTCCCTACGGGTATAGGTATGAAAGTCTACTTTTTCTTTTTCGAGTTCTCTGATAACAGAATGCCTGTGTTCTTCGCAGTTCGTGTATACTTTGGTTTGGTTATTTCTGAATTGACACGTAAAGTCTATTGAGTTTAGAATGTTCCTCAAACTTGATATAAATTCCTTGTAATTTCCGATTTTCTGCGTGACAACGATCGGAGGTATCGCTTTCTTTTTAATTTCTGTTTGTTTTTTTGGTTTAACTGCATCTCTATCTGTTTTATCATTTTCTTCTAGTTTCCCAGGATTCCGAATCGATTGAAAGTCGGGGCTGGAAAAATCGTAGTTTGCATTTCCTCGTCTTGTTTCGTTCTCTTGGTTGGAGGTGGAAAACCATTACTTGACGTTGATGCATCCATATCTAGTATGGGTTTGTGCGTGAAAGTTCTTTTGACAGTTTTACTTGCATATGCAAATTTCTTCTCGGTTCTGGTCCCCATCCGAGCCCGGGCACCCCTACTCAGTTCGAAGACAATCCTTCATTTCAAATGGAAACTTTCGCCTGATTGAGATATCTCAAAGCTCAACACTTATAAACACTGAATATGCTTGTGGTTTACACTAGTTTTAATTCTATTTGAAGCCCAACGTGCACTCGCTCTATCTCAAATGCAACTGAATAATCTAGCGTTACAGTAGTACATTATATAATAGAAGGTAAAAGTTTCTGTTGGACCTTTTTTTTGCACCTAGGTTTTTTTAAAAAACCTAAAAGTATAAATTCTACAATTTTAGGTTTTTTAGGATTAATATTAAGAATTAAGAATTTTTCAATCAACTCTCAAGAGAAAGAGTGCAAAAATTACTGTATATGAAAACAAATGAAAATATTTTATCAGAGGTTACCACTGGGGAACTTCTTGATATTTATTTTTCACTTTTTAGTTTTTTTATTCAACTATTAGGTACTAACTATTGAAATATATGAATTAAAAAACTTAAATAACCTAAAAACCTACTTATACATTTTTTAATTCTTTATCAGAGTTGCTGTCAAACTTATATTTCAAGAGCAAGGAATTTTTTTAGAAATCAGTAAAAATTACCTTTAAGTTGTGTAAAATATATGTTCCTTGTCCTCAAAATTAAAAGATAAAACAATCTGCAAAACAAGAATAAGCGTATTGCAATGTGGCAGGTGTAAAATTAAAATTCTAAAAGTCAGTACAAAGTAGAGTAGACATGCTCATTATAAGGACACTAAATCACAATATTAGCCGTTTTTGTTGAACTGGTTTAAATTGAAAAATACCAACCTTCAGAAGCAGCACAATCCAAACAAGTATCTCATCAATTCTGGCAAAAACACTGTATTTCTTAGTTTATGCTCAGGTGTTATTTTTTTGACAATATATATCTGTCTTTCTCTTGTAAGCTGCACATAACCAAACATTTCTGTGGTTGTGTGTGTATGTGTGTGTGTGTGCGTGTGCGTGTGTCTGGCTGTGTGTCTGTCTGTCTCTCTGTCTGTCTGTCTGTCTGTCTGTCCGTCCGTCCGTCCGTCCGTCCGTCCGTCCGTCCGTCCGTCCGTCCGTCCGTCCGTCCGTCCGTCCGTCCGTCCGTCCGTCTGTCCGTCTGTCCGTCTGTCCGTCTGTCCGTCTATCTGTCTGTCTGTCTGTCTGTCTGTCTGTGTGTCTGTCTGTGTGTCTGTGTGTCTGTGTGTTATTCACTAATAATTTGTTTTTAAAAAGTTTTATTTACAATTTAAATGAATGTGATACAATTTACCTTGTTGTTTATTAATTACGATCTATACTGTACTAATTCTCTTATTGTTCTGAACGCCGTGAAACTTGTCGTAAAAAAGATTGGTACAAGCTTTTCACATGTAAGGATTTATTTGAATTATTTAAATGTATACTAAGTTTTATTATTTCAGTAAAAATCCTTTAGAAATGTTCAGCAATTCAAGCTCATCTACAAAAAAAGAATAATATGGACTTTTTATACATACTGGTATAATTTAATTTGAATTTTATTTTAAAATGTTTTTTTACTTCACTTTCCTTTGTTATCATTTCAAAAATTAGTTACCATTTATTAAAAATCATTGTTTTGCCTTAGTTTAAAGTTAATTTTGTTTATAACATTTTAGTAAGATTCCTGAAGAATCTAAGTCTGACGTCTTAGAAAAACGAATTAATATTCTTCGGAGGAGGATAGCATTCCTTACAAAGACTGTAAAAGTGTCTAAAAGAACTAGTATTCGAAGAAAATATATAATTAAGAGCATGAAAGAAATAATTTGTCGCCTAAAGAAGAAATTTGCTTTGGCCCCTGGAATAGCAACAGCTCTAGAAACCTCTATTCAGGGTGTTCCATCAATTCTTGTTAAAAGAATGTTAAGTAACAAAAACAAACTGAGTAGACAAAAGTGTCCTAAAGAGTTGAGAAGCTTTACCATGACACTGCAATTTTACAGTACCAAGGCATACAAGAAAAACCTTTAATTTGTCCCTCCCCCATCCATCCACAATAAGTACTTGGTTAGCACAAATTGACTGAAGAAGTACTATAGTACTATAAAAAATTCAATTATGAACTTCTGTGTTCTTTAATTTTCGATGAAATGTCGATAAAAAAGGAAGTAACTATAGGTAGACACTCTCACACTTTGTGGGGTTATACAGATATTGGAGCCAACATTCGAACTGAAAATGAACAGGAGTTAGCCACTAAAGTGTTGGTGCAAATGATAGTTGGTGTCAATGATAATTTTAAAATTCCAATTGGCTATTTTTTCACAAATAAAATTTCTGGCAAGGAGAAGGCCAATATAATTTTGGAAGCTTTAAAACAGTTAAGTCATGTAAAATTTAAAATATTGTCAATAACTTGTGGTAGTTCACAAGTTAATTTTAAATTAATGAGAGAGTTAGGATGCAAAATCACGAATCCTAATAATTTAAAAAATTATTTCTTGCATCCAACAAAAAAATATAATTTATATATAATATTTGATGTCTGTCCTATGTTGAAATTGGTTAGGAATAATTGGGCTTAATCAAAGGTATTTATTAATTCTGATGGTAAAGAAATTTGCTGGAATTTTATTGAAGAATTATGCAAGCTTTAAGAAAATGAAAAACTTTACCTAGAAAACAAATTAAGAGGCAAACATTTTCAGTGGAGAAAAATGAAAATAAAAGTTGTAGAATAAAACTTTATTTAAATTCAAAATAAAATTTATTACAATAATTAATTCAGTATAACAATAAAATGGTATAATATACTAAATATTTGTATCTGTAAAAGAATGAATAATGGTTATCTTCGCTCAGACCTTAATGGCAACGGTTACGGTTTAGGCGACTAAAATGCTGGCGCTTTTCGGTGCGCCATCTCTTCGATCGAGCGGAATTACATCTTGCGGTCATCCACACGCCGGCGGAAGGTAAGGTAATGTTGGTTGCGAGTATTGTAGGGGCGAGCGTAATAAAATATCTGCTACAGTCTCCCCCTCTGACGTCGAGGTCGTCTCGATAAGGCGTCAGAAGTAGTGGCAGATGAGGTTGTGTTCCGGGGCCTCCCTTTTTTTCTAATTTATTTTAGGGATGTCAACCTGGACATTACATAGTTTTGGCATTCATCGTTGTGGCTCTGGCATATAGGTCGGGATAGGAAGTCTGCGACAACATTAGTTTTACCAGGAGTGTAGTGGACTTTAAGATCATAGGGTTGAAGTTGCAGGCCCATCTTGCTAGGCGGCCTGTGGGTGTTTTTAAAGTCATCAACCACTTCAGAGGTTGATGATCCGTTACCAATATTGCCTCTGACCCTTCAATGTATCCTCGAAATTTATTTACAGCATACACTAATGCAAGAGCTTCGCGTTCGGTAGTTGTGTAATTCTTTTCAGCTGGTGTCAATAGGCGACTACTATATTCTATAGGGTGCTCATTTTCCTTCTCCCCCTATGCTCCTATAGCGTATGCGCTAGCGTCAATCTTGATGGTGAAGGGTTGAGTGATGTCGGCCTGTTTCAGTATGGGGGAAGTTATGAGATTTGCTTTGAGCTTACGGAATGCTTGCTCTTCTTCCGATCCCCACTTCCACACTGCTTGTTTTTTCGTTAAATTGGTAAGCGGTCTGGCGGTAAAGGCGAAATTCGGTACAAATCGTCTGTACCAGGAACAGGTCTGTATAAACGATAACAGCTGTTTGCGATTTTTAGTAGCTGGCATGTTTGCTATGGCTGAAGTCTTTTCAGGGTCTGTGGTAATGCCAGCCTTGGTTATAATGTGTCCTAGATATTTAACCTTAGAGCATCTAAAATTACATTTTTTCCTATTGACTCTTAGTCAAAATGCTCGCAAGTGTTCAAAGACCATCTCCAGGTCTCGGAGATGCTGGTCAAATGAAGGAGATCGGACAATGAGGTCATCTAGGTAGACTAGGACAGCGACTTCTTTCAAAGTAGCTTTAAACCTATCCATTAAGCGTTGAAAGCTACTTGGTGCGTTCCGTAGTCCGAAGGCCATCCTATTAAATCTGTATATTCTAAAAGGTGTTATGAAACCCGTTTTATTCTTATCATATTCATGGATTTGTATTTGCCAATACCCTGACTGAAGATCTAGGCAATGTGAGGGCAGCCTTTAGCTGCATGTAGCAAGTCGTCAATCCGAGGTAGTTGATATTTATCCGGTACAGTGATCGCATTCAGTTTACGATAGTCGACGCATACTCGCAGGTCATTGTCCTTTTTAGGCACTAGGACTACTGGAGATACCCATGGAGTGTCAGTTTCTTCGATCACCCCCTTTTCTAGCATGTCGTCAAGCTTGTGCCTTAGTATTTCTTGGCGTGAAGGGCTTAGACGATATGGGGCATTGGCTATTGGTGCATGCTCACCTGTAGGAATACGGTGTTCGGCGTGTGGAGTGGGTGGCCCATCCTCAGCAAAAACATCGGAGTACTCCTGGAGGATCTCATTAAAACTTTGTCGTTGCTGGTAGCTAAGCTCGGGAGCTTCTTCGGGTCTTAAACCAATGTCCATGAGGTTTAGATCCAATCTACGTCGTTTTCTATGATCTCGCCTCTTTGGAGGTGACATAGTAGGTGGCAAAGAATCTGTAAAAATGTCATAAATTACATTAGGTGAATAACGGTCATCGGCATCTCTTTCGTAAGATGGCCGTGGTGGTGTGTAAATCTCTACTAATGGAAGTGACATCTCAGGTTGTCCCATCGAATTTTCATTATCTAACGGCAATGGTGATGCAAAGAATTCTAAAAATGGTGATTCTTTTCCGTCTTCGATGTCTGCTGCTAAAGTCGTATTAATAGAGTTACTTTCCACTTCTGTCCGTGGTGGATCTTTGTGTCGTATGTACCCTGGTGTTCCTCCTTGTTGAAGTTGCAGAAAATCGAATATCTTATTCGGTCTATCCCTAACAAGGTGCGATTATCTTCCGCATCTGGGAGTACCACGAAATCTATTTGAAATATACGATCGCCTATCTCAATATCAGCTGAAGTAAATAATACATCTTGAGGCAGACATTGGCCGTCTGCAAGTATAACATCTACCAGTTTTAAAAATGCAGGACTTTTCCTTTTTTAAATGCTCATATAATGTTGCGCTTGCTACACTTGTTCGGGCTGCCGTATCTAGATGCGCTAGGCCTGGGATACCCTTGAGTTTCTGTAGTTACCTCTTTGGCTAGGCGCTTTCTGCATTCATTTGTTAAATGTCCTCTGATATGACAGTAGCCGCATCTTGGCTTTTTGGATGGAATATTTCTGGGACAGCTAGATGATCCAGATACCCCTGCTTCTTCCAGCTGGATATGCTCTATCTTCCTGACCTCTTCCAGTAGATTATCAAAAGAGCGTATTAAGTCTCTTGGGACTTGTTTACGTATATGCACAGCGAGAAGACCGTAAACCATATCGACTTTTGTTCTTTCGTCGTGGCGATTAGGAGGTAATTGTGCCAAAAGTGCTCTCTTTTGGCATATGAAGTCATCAATTGGAACGTTAGGTTCTTGACGTTGATCAAATATCTCCATGTATATTTGGCAGGTGAGAACGCATTAGGCGGGTAGCGTCTCATTAGACTAATTTTACTGAGTTTTATTAATATTAATAAAAATACCTACACACTTTAAATACGTTCCATTCATTTCTTATAATAAAATTAATTTATCTATTGTTGGCATACACGAAAGTAGAGGTGCCCAAGTAAACAAAGTCACTCAGGCTAAAATAAAATCACTTATTTCTAATTTTGAAATTACTATACCCTTCTTGGTATTAGATAAAATAACAGGAATGGTCCCACAATTTAAAATTGATATTTCCGCCATAAATATTCCACAAGGTTTGACAGCAGATCCTACATTTTTTAAGCCTTCTCAAATCGATTTATTATTAGGTGCCAATATTTTCTATGATTTACTCTTACCCAATCAAATTAAATTAAATATAAATGGACCCATATTGCAAAATTCTTGGCTCGGATGGATAGTGTTGGGCTCTATTGGCTCTATTGGCTCATTCAATAATAAAACGATTCTTTCTTATGTCTCTCAAAATGATGACATTCAAAGGCAATTAGAAGCATTTTGGTTGTTAGAAGATATTTCTAATAAAAAACAAATCACATACAGCAAAGAGGAAGCTGAATGTGAAGAGGATTTTATACAAAATGCCTTTCGAGATGAAACTGGACGATTCATAGTAAAATTGCCTATCAGGGATAACTTTTCTAATCTGGGTTGTTCTAGAGCAATATTTTTAAAACGATTTCACAATCTTGAAAGGAAATTTCTAAATGATCATGAGTTGAAAGCAAAATAACTCTGCCTTTATTAAGGAACACATCGATTTGAAGTATATGACTTTAGTAGAAAATCCCGAAATTAAACCAATATTTTATTTGCCTCATCATTGTGTTAAAAAGTAAACATCATTAACGACAAAATTACGTGTCGTATTTGATGCATCTGCAAAATCTGATAGTGGACTTTCATTGAATGATGTACTTAAGGTCGGTCCTTCCATCCAGGAAGACATTTTTTCCATATTATTGCGTTTTAGATCTCATGCCGTTGCCTTTACTGCAGACATTGCAAAGATGTACCGTCAGGTTTTGGTACATCCCGATCAAAGAAATTTACAATGTATTTTTTGTCGCTTTAATTCAACTGAAGAGCTTCGCACTTACGAATTAAATACTATTACTTATGGCACAGGCCCAGCATCATTTTTAGCAACACGATGTCTCAAACAGTTAGCAATCGAAAATGAATCTTTTCCTATATCTAGCTCATCAATTGCTCATGATTTTTACATGGATGATTACATTTCTGGTGAAACTGATGAAATGTCGGCTGTTTTTATAATAAAAGAAGGTTTTTCTATTTTAAATTCTGCTGGAATCGTTCTTAGACAGTGGGTAACGAACAGACCAAATATCTTCAGAGATTTGAATTTTGACAATATAAATGATATTGAATATTTTGTTAAAAATGATACGGATTCTAAAATATTAGGCTTACAATGGAATCCTACACAAGACATTTTTCAGTTCACACCTAACCTTACTCTTGACCTTAAAAGGAAGGTAACAAAACGAAATTTGCTGTCAACAATTTCTCAACTTTTTGATCCACTTGGTTTGCTAGGTCCAATTGTAGTTACAGCCAAAATAATGTTACAAGGACTTTGACAACTTAAGTCTGATTGGGATGATATAGTTCCTAATGAGATTTTTACTTGTTGGAAAAAATTTTTCTCTCTTCGCAGAATTACATTTTATAAAAATTCCTTGACATTTTCTTTTATGTCACTACAAATCCATTTAGGATTATGGAGCTTGCATATATTTAAAATCTATTAACGTCAACGGCGATATTTTTGTTTATCTAAGTTGCTCAAAAAGTCGCATGGTTCCATTAAAAACTATAACACTACCACGCTTAGAACTTTGTGGTGCATTATTGCTAGTGCAATTATGTGAGCGCCTAATAATATCTCTAAAAAAATATTCTATCAGAGAAAAATCAATTGCAATCATTTTAAACAGATGCTAAAATTCAGTGGCACTTTATACCACCTCGTTCACCATATTTTGGTTGTCGGTTGGAAAGTGCTATCCGTTCGGTGAAATATCATTTGAAAAGAATTATGAAAAACATTTACCTTTCATATGAAAATTTTTATAGTTTACTCACACAGATAGAGTCAATTTTGAATTCAAGGCCTTTGCTCCACTCACAGAAGATCCGAATGATCTCTAACCTTTGACCCCAGGACATTTAATTATTGGCGAACCCTTTAATGAAACTACTCTCAAACCGAGCACAGACACTTTAACGTCTCGGTACAAACACATACAACTTATTGTTCAGCACTTTTGGTCTAGATGGTCCAAGGAATACCTGCATCACCTTCAAGTAAGATCCAAATGGTTCAACGATCCTAAGGCATTGAAGGTAGGATCTTTAGTATTAATAAAAGAAGATTCAACTTCACCCATGAATTGGCGAATGGGAAGAATTGTAGAACTTCATCCAGGGCACGATAACATAGTCAGAGTGGTATCTATAAAAACTTCCATGTGCATAATTAGACGAGCTGAAACGAAAATCTGCACCTTACCTATGGATTGTTGAAGTTCTGCTCACTTCAAGGGGGGCGGCATGTTCAGTCTGGAGCCAATCCTGTATTAAAACTATAGTTACTTAACTTGTTTTAGTTGTTATTTTTTGTAAAACGTCAATTAGACAATTCACTTTTGAATTTGTACCTTTGAGCAAATATATTTTCTACCCAGCAGTTTTTAACCCAGTTATTTTACTCCGTTTCTTGGTCCACGATCTAAGTATTGAATCGTCCCAGGAAACTCCACAGTATGTAAGCACAAAATCTAAAGTCTATTTTGACTTTCTATTTTCATTTTTAGAATTCGAAATGGCTGTGTTAATAATCCAAATGCTGAGCAATTTTTATATACCTACAGACGCTTGTTAGTTCACCAGGATATTAGATCTAATACAGGTAACTGTATTGCCCAAGATCAAACCAATGTCTTAACCGTAACTAGAAATTCTGAACCTGTTACTATATTAGACGTTCATTTCCACTAAAGACAAGATGATCAACACACAAGAATTTGAGTCGACAATTCATCTTTTTAGGCCAGAAAATTTAAGTGAATACTCCGAAAATATTATTTCCTATATATCGGGCTTTGTTGTTAAAAAACTAGAAAATTATATCAAGTGCAAAACATGCTTGGATTCATTATATCTAAAAGAGACACTGTCATTTATCAATTTTAAAAACAGAGGTGGTTTAATTATTCCCAACCGATTTAGCGCCAAAGGTGCGAAAACGCACCATTTTTTATATTTTTTTTATTGGCAATACTTTAACTTTTTTAAATCTTCGCATTTTTTGTGTATCTAAATTTAATTTTGTTTAATTAACAAATCATTTTTTCTTTACAAAAATATTTTCTAAATATCCTACATTTTCAATCCTTCGACACAGCTGTAGTTTTAGTGTGGTAATTTTATTGGTAAAACACTGTGGTCAAATTAATTAAAACTTGATTTTTTTAACCTATTTGTACGCCAATTGTTATAAAATTCCAAAAAAAATGTTGAGTCGTCAAATATCGAGTTTAAAAATAACGAACCTTTGGCGGAATTCACCTTCGGTGCCTGTCTGGTCGGAAATTTCAAGGTGACGCACACGTGACTCTTGTTTGATGGGATATTTCTATGTTATGTATGTTAGAAAGACAGGTATTTAGTTTTGGTATGGTATAGAGCTTTGAGGTTGTGAAGTGTAGAAAATATAGCGATTTGGCAAAATAACCCTAAAAGAGCTCTAACTTTATTGTAATTAGAAGGTGAATTCGAGTATATTAGCGATAATGATGATGGGGTCCCAGAAATAGTAATAATACCTCTGGCCTGTGACGAATTGACGGATGAAGAAATGATTGATGACGATGTTATTATAAGTAACTTTTTTACGAATGTTCATGTTTATTTTAGAATAGTTAATAAAATATATTACATATTACTGTGGTATTTCTTTGCTTGGCGGTTAATGGGTTAGGAAATGTAAGAATCGTATACTGTAGGATTGAAAAAAAAATCAATTAATTGCTAAGTTAAATAGCATTGCTTTGCCAGAAAAAGATTCTTTTATTAAAATATTGTTGAATGTAACTTAACAACTTTTTGAAAATCCAAATATATTCAACGAATTGGATATTCATATTTTAGACTTTTCCTTTTTTGATATACCCCACAAAAAAATATTAATACAAAAAATTATTGAAATTTAGGGTTCATTAAGGATTTTTAGTATAATTAATAAAATTAACCATGACGTAAAAGGACAAAATATACGTCAAATTTTTACGAAACTAATTTTATTTAAAAATAAATAAATTCATTAAGTCCCTTATTCTTTATAATGGGTTGAGTTTTATCTGTGCCGTTGTTGAAACCAGCAAACCTGTTCTAGTAAAATAAATGTTGGACTCGTGCGAAATACTTAACCTTCCGGGACTGGCGCACGGACTCAGTCCGCAGCGCTTTTTATTTGCCGTTTGCCGCGTAACCCACCCTTTCTCAAATCGGTTCATTTCTGTATTATTTAAGCATTAAATTGGTAGTAGTATCTCAAAGTTTGAAGCGTGAGTGTATTTTTGTTCTTATGTTATAAAAGATTGTGGAGTGAGAGCCCGCCGCCAGTTGCCAATCCCATTTTTGACCACACTATTAATATATGTGGAAAGTTTATGTGTGTGGAACATATGACACCTATATGTTTGGAATGTCACAGTGAATAGTTTTATAATAAGTTGATATTTTTTTTGTTTATATTACGTTGATTTTATGTTTTTAGTAGCTAGTTTCAGGAATGTTAAACTTTTCTGATGTATTTCTAATAATGCCAAAAATACATGTTCCTTTATGTTTTTTTGTTGTAAAATTAATGTTGTTTAATTATTTTTGATAATTTTAAATAAATAAACAAAAATAATTACAAACTGTTTTTTGAATTGGCTCAAATTTATTATGCGGACTCACAGTCCGCCGCCATCGCCGGATCACAAAAATTTCACGCCAGTCCTGGAAGGTTAAAAAAAAACTTTATTTTATTTCGAAATACCAAAGAGATTTAACCGACATTAATTATTTCGAGAATTATTGAGTTCTGAATGAAGTCTAAATCAAATCTGAATATGGCGGCGACAATTATGCCTTTTATAGTTAGAACTGCAAATAAAACTTTTATAAATTCGTGTTTATGATGAAAAAATAGTTTTTGTAATACTTATAGTGATTATTGACTTTTTAAAATAAGCTATATAATGGCTCCAGCAACACAGAGTACTATTTGGAAGTATTTTAATCCTAAGGAAAATGAGAGCGCCCAATGTGCTCTCTGTAATAAGATTTATTCAAGGAAAGGACGAACAACTACGTCACTCAAAAATCATTTAAAATCGATGCACCCCGAAGAATATTCTTTGTATATGAGCACCGATGCTGATCAAAAGGCAAAAAAGGAATGCAAAATAAGTAAGTACTTAAATATCTTTATTAGATCATGTTTTTCATTTTAAAATTTTATATTTTGTATTAAAAACAAAACCATACCATTTTTTTTTGTTTGGATTTGTTTAGTTTTTTTTATGATATATAATTAGACTGGCTCCTAAAAATAAGTTTAAGGTTTTACTTCTCATCTCATTTTAACAGTTTATACTGTCCATTTTTTATGATTCAAAGACGGTTTTAGTAATGTGAAATGTTTTAGATCACTTTATGATGAAAAAATGTCATCTCTTATTTTGACAGCTTTGATATATTATCAAATTTTCACTCTTTAAAGATGGTTTGAGTACTTAGTAAGATCTCAGAGGGCTTTTCTATGAAAAAAGTCATTTGTCATTTGGAAAATTTTGACATATTGTCGAATTTATAGAAGAGACTGATGCCCAGTTGCAAGAAGGCTTGTTAAATCTCTCAATAACTAATGTTTATTAGACTATACGTAATTTGACATCAATGTGATTAAAGCAGATTACATTCTCAGGCTCTGTCAAAAGTAATAAACTTTGACAGAGCTAGCGAATGTTACCTGTTCTGATGACATCAACGTCAAAATAAGCATAGTCTAATAAACATTAGCTATTGAGAGATTTAACAAGCCTTCTTGCAACTGGGCGTTGAAGTATAAAAAACATCTCAAATGAAATTAATTTATTTTTCTGGCCGACGTAATAAAGAAGAATATCAACAATTATATTTTTTTTCAGGTGAAATCATATCCACGCCACTTCAAGCTGCAAAAAAGCAACTAAGTTTGGAGGAAGTCTTTAACAAGGAGAAGAAATGGGATAAGGCATATCCAAAATCACAAAACATTGATAAGTTAATAGGTGAAATGATAGCATTGCAGGATTTACCATTTAATTTTGTCGAGGGTATCGGCTTTAGAAGACTAATGTTCGAGGTAGCGCCGAAGTACAATTTAAGAGGTCGTAATTTTTTTACTGATTACGTTTGCGAAGATTTATATAACAAAGTGGCTGCGAAAGTCAAATATTTGATCAAAGAACTAGATTTTATGTCGTTTACTACAGATCTGACCCAAGTTCTGGGACATCGCTGCTTAGCCTAACATGTCATGGAGTCACTACAGAATTTGAACGAATATCAATAATATTAAAATGTGAGACTTTTGATAATCGCCATACCGGAGACGTAATTGCCAACAAATTTGAATCCATGCTTGCTGAGTGGAACATTTCTAAAAATCAAGTACACTGTATGATCCGTGACGGAGGTTCAAACATGAAAAGAGCCATGGCCCTATCTGGTATTAATGACGTTGATTGCACAGTGCACAAACTCCAGCTTGCAATCAAAGCCGGATTTCAAAACGACGAACACTTACAAAATATTAAGGAAAAATGTAAGAAAATAGCCACACATTTTGGTCATTCCACTATAGCTCAAAAGGCTTTCATTGATATACAAGAACGGCTAAACCAGAAAAAGTTATCCATATTCCAAGATGTACCAACAAGATGGAATAGTACGTTTTATATGTTTGAGAGGTTTCTTATAGTGAAGGATGCCTTAAGTATTTATATTAATGATCATCAAATACCCACTATTTTACCTGAAGAGTGGAAGCAAATGGAATGCTGCGTAAATGTATTAGGACCATTTGAGCAGGCAACACGAGAATTAAGTAGCTCGCACGTTTTGATATCATCTGTGAAACCAATAATTTACATGTTATTTAAAAAAATGGACGAAGAGCTAAATAATGACCAGAATCCGGAAAACATTAAGAAATTTGTAACCAAAATTAAAACTGAAATCAGTTCCAAATTTCAAAACTTGGACAGTAATTTCTTATATACTTTAGCGACTTACTTGGATCCTAGATACAAAGCCAAATTCTTTGAACCCATTATTAAAGATCAAATTGAAAGTGAATTATTGAAAATAGCTACAAGTGACGCAAATATCAATGAGAGTCCACCAAAAAAAATTAAAAAAATATCTATTGATAGCCGTTGCTGCAGTAAGTCATTACAAAGTGAACTAGAAATGATGCTTGACTCCTCCAGCGATGATGAAACTAGTGCTTGTGCTACATCAACTTCAGATTCACTTGTTACTAGACAAACTACTCTCAAGAAAAAAGGTTGCCGATAACTGAAAATCCATTTAACTGGTGGAATATAAACGGTCACAAATACACGACAATTTCAGCAACTGCACGAAAATATCTATCGGCGCCACCAGGTAGTGTACCAAGCGAGCAACTATTTAGTGGAGCAGGGCTAATTTATGAGCCACTACGTAATCGACTTGAAGCTGACAAAGCAGCTAAATTATTATTTTTAAAGTATAACTTACCTCTTTTAAAATTTATTTATTAGTCAATATACACCTACTTTCAGTTATTTCTAGTATTTTGTTTTATTTAATGTCTTCGTTCGTTAATTTTCCTAATAGTATGTTAGTTTTTTGTTTTTTTTTTTTTTCAACTTCCGCATCCGCATCTGCAGATATGGAACTCAAAAAATCTGCATCCGCATCCGCATCTGCAGATGTTGGAAAATATCACATCCGCAACATCCCTGATCATAACAAAACACTGTTCGGCCTTTCTGATTAACGCGAAAAGTGCCAAAAACACACAAGATTCTCCACTGAGAAAAATTCACCAGTCACAAGTGAAATGTCAACGGCAGTAGGGCAATTTCTCCGCAAAATTTTATTCTCCGCCGAATTCTCCGAACCTTCTTAAATTCTTCGAAAAGCAGAGAATTCTCCGTCCATTGGCAACACTGTATATTACATGAAAATTAGTGATTTACAAGACCCTGGATTACCTTTTTTGTTAAATTTACTCAAACCAAGGCAAAAATAACTCGAAAAATTATAATTACCGATAATTTTGAAAAAATCTATCAGTAGTCGTATCAGAACCGTAAATGCAATGCCCAAAGAATTGGTATTAATAAATTTACCAAAAGGAGGAAAGATGTTGCCGCTTTTTTGAAAACGTGTTAAATTTTTATACGTAGGTAGGATTGAGGCAATGGGTGCAAATATTTTTACATGGACAGGTCTAAGAGACAAAGAAAACAACTATTTTTACATGAGCAGGCTAAAGGGGTAACGGGATCACATAATTTCACATCGAAATTTGTTGTTGTTAAAGCACGATTTTTTTTAAACTATTGTTTCAATTTTCATAACATTGAGAAAATTTGTATAATATAAATATAAGATGTATATAATAATTAAATAAGAAGTTAAACGTAAGTAATATAAATTTGTTTTATATATAAAAATAAACATTCAAAAATAATATGAGTTTTACTTAGAAAAATATGTAATTTTATTCTAAGGAATCTGATTCACTGCTGGAATGTTTGCGTTTTCTTTTTTCTTTTTAGGTCTTTTAAGTAGTTTCGAAATAATACTGATGCTGTTGTT